GGGGTTTAGGGTTTTGGGGGTTAGGGTTCAGGGTTTAGGGTTTCGGGTTTAGGATTTGGGGTTTAGGGTTTAGGGTTTAAGGGTTTAGGGTTTTAGGGTTTAGGGTTTTAGGGTTTAGGGTTCCTTTCAGGGCTCCACTTAAAGGGATCCTGTGTCTCCGAAGCGTTCCCGTTACAGGCGCCCCGGTCCTGTTTTTGGGGTTCAGGGTTTGCAAGAAGACCTATGATCTAATTCCTCGTGCTTGCCTTGGCTAGGTTCTTGTTGAGGGAGCAAAAAACTTCCACGAAGTACTGGTCTTCAACTGCTATGAGGGAGTAACCTTGCGGGTACCCTTACACTCCCCTTTCTCATACCCCCCCATGTTATACAAACCCTACACCCTAAACCCCAAACCCTAAACCCTAAACCCTTTAAGGCCCCTTGGTTATAAAACCCTTGTGTCAAGCCCTAAAGCCCTAAAACCCTAAGGCCCCTAAGCGTAAAGCCCTCACAGAAGCCCTGCAGCCGGAGGTCCACTTCACCGAGCCAGGAGTGGGAACAGACACCGTGGCTCAGTGCGTTTTCAGGGCTTAGCTGCCAAGCACTACTTGGAGGTTCATGGGTAGTTATAAGTAGGGTTATAAGTCCCTTAATATGGGTTATAACTATAGTTACTACCCATGAACCTCCAAGTAGGTTCAGGGTTTCAGGGTTTCAGGGTTTAGGGGTTGAGGGCTTGGAGCTTTTGGAGATTCAGGCTTCCTTTGTCTTAGAGAGGGTTGGAGGGCTTAGCAGTATGAATCAAGGGTTCTGGGTTTAGAGTGCAGGGCTGAGGGCAAGTTTTACTGGGGCCTTACGGGTTCTGTGAGTGTTGAGTGCGCAGGGAGGCTTTTCAACTTTCTCCCACTGTCGTCTGTGCAGTGCGTGCTAGTGGCCGTGGTTGTATGTACGCCCTTAACTCTAAACTTCCTGCCTCACAATGCCGCAAATCTTCAAGTTTCAGCCTGGAGCTTCAAATAGAACCTGAACCCTAAACCCTTAAACCTATGGGTTGCTTTATGTTGGTGACCTAAGGATTTCTTCGAAGTCAGCGATGTGCAGTGCACCGATGCCCCGGATCCCTGGGAAGTGGGGCCCAACCATTGGACCTTTGTTCCACTGCGACTTGGAGAGCATGGCGAGTGCAGCTTGCGGGTTGGAGTTTTGGGCGTTGGGTTTCGGGGCAGGGTTGAATTGAACGGTCAGGAGTTTAGCGCTCAGTGTTGCAGAGTTTGAAGTTTGCAAGTTGGGGTTGGAGTATTGCATATCGCGGGGCTTTGAATGCAAGCAGCCCAAGACTGGAGTGTTGCTCTGCAAGCCGTGATCTCTAAGGCAGTTCAATCAGAGCAAGGCCGAGCGATCTGCGTGGGTTAGGGCCGACACCACCACGACGAACATCGCAGACGAGATGGGGGAGACCTTGCTGGGTGCTAACGAGGATGCTGGGTTCTGGAGTACCATACTTGAATACTTGTTTTGGACCTGTTCCTTAAAGGAACCATTATATAAAAAAAGTCTATACTTTTTTCTCCCTGGTTACTTCAAAGTCCAGGATGACATATACATCGAGGACGATCGATTGATCAGTTTGCATCTCCAGCACGGAGTGGACCAAATGTTTCTCGGAGCAAAGGTTCCAGGGGTTGCTGGACATCTTGGCCCCAAAAAAGGCGTAGGAAAGCTCTGTAAGACACCGCAAAATCTAGGAAGACACTTCAGAAGCCCTAAAGCATCCTACTACGGCTAAAGCCTTTTGAAAATGCGTGGAAGATTTGAAAAAAAAAGCCCTTCTAGAACTCGTTTTTTGAGCCCTTCTTAGGGCGAATCCCCCCTCTAATGGAGATCTCCCGACCAAAAGGTCCAAGGATTTGCTCAACACCTTGACCCCAAAACCCTAACAGAAGCCAAAAAGAAGCCCTTCCTTAACCACACCAAAAAAAACACCATGCGGGGTTTAGGGTTTAGGGTTTAGGAACCCTATTTACAACCCAGATCCACCCAACAAAAACCCCATACAGAACCCCATTTAGGCTTCAGGGTTTAGGAACCCTATTTAATAAAGGCCCTTCATAAATAAACCAGATCCCTTCTGCCCCGAACGAAGGTCCAAGGTCTTGAAAGACACCTGGAACTGCGTGAAGTTGGCCTCGGCTTTCCTGGACGGCTCCTCGCCGGATGAGCTTTGCTTGGCCTTTGAGGGCACCCACTCCCCTGAGGCCGTCATCGCGAAGGAGAAGGACGGGGGGTTTGCCCAAAAGTCCCATAAACCCTAAGCCCCAAACCCGAAACCCTAAACCCTAAACCCTATTCTGGCAGTCAGATTTTTTGTTTTTTTTGGGGGGATCTTGGGATTCTAGGTTGTCCAAGTTCGAGGATGAAGGATGTGGGATTTTCGCGTTTAGGCCTTCGGCCATCTGAGCCGTGGGGTGGAGGCCTCTGGAAATTGTACTGTTAGAGTTCTTGTCTTTGGTGGCGGTTTAGGGTCTAAGCTATATGGTTTTCAGTCCCTTTTCAACGGAAGCCCAAAAACCCTCCGATCCAGTGATGATCCCGTGACACAGTCACGTTGTTTCGTGTGAGCGGGGGTCCGACAGATTGGACCGTTTGACTGTGGTGAGAGGTGATCGAGCGACGGATCAATGCCGGAGTGCGTCTGTTCCTGGGTCCTTGTTGGATACAATTTTACATTTTTGTTCTAATAAAACCCTAATTAAGGATTAAAAATGATCATTTTTTGATATGGTCCCAACAGGGAACCAGGTTCGGTTTCATTCTCATGTGGACCAGCTTCAACCTCATGTTGCGCCCCTTGACATGGGTGCTGTCTTTCCTCTGGATCCTCGGGACGGTGATCTTCTTCTTGGTACACGCGGGCACCTTCGTCTGTGCCTGCTTCTTCTCGGGCTGCACTATGGGGACAGCATGGATCTTCTATCGCCCTGCCTACGGTCTTTTGGTTTTATGTGGGCCTCTGCTGGTACTATATCTGTCGTACATGCGGGCGACTGCGCAGCCTTTTTGATGGAGAATTTCGATTGTTTGAAAGAGATGGCGGTGCTTGCCCTCGATGCTGCGCAAAGTGCTCAGATTGATTGTCGATTGATTGTTGCCAGATCCCCCCCAGAGAAAAAGCGCACTGTTGTCTGCAAGATGTGTCGCAACAGTTTGAGCTTCATGGCATTGACCATCTTTCAGCGTAAAACTAAGCACAACCCGACGAGCAGCAAGAATCGATCCAGCTTCTATCAGAGCAAGGCTGCTCCGGAAATGGCAGATGCGGAAGGGCTGTTTGACTTCCTGAGGCTGCAAATTTCCGACGGACATCAAGGCCGATTTCACGGTAGAAAGAGTTGGAGGCCAAACTCAGATATTTCG